TTTGAAGCTTCACATTCTCACATTCATACAGTATGTAGAAATGATACATGAATAATGCTATCTAAAGGAGGTTGGTATTGGGAGCATTCTTTATTTGTGTTCTAATCTATGCAGATTCCCTTGATTATGCTGCATGTAAGCTGCTTATTTCACAATATAAAGTGAGGGAATGACAAATGTAATGTTGAATAAAACACAAAATGAAGACTCATTCCCTCACATCACCCGGTACTCAAACACAAGTCATGTGAGAGGTGGTCATGTGACATTACTGTGTATAATAACATTATTAGTGGTAGAAGCAGTAGTTCCATTACTCTGCTGCTGAAGAATATACACAAGTAATCCATTATATTTTCAATCATTTTATAGTTGTTTTATTGGTGAATTAATCCCTTTCCTTGCTGCCTTCCTTTGTCCGATACTCATCATACTCTTATTCAATATTATCGTCTACATTCTCATAATTAGAGTTTTAATTCTTCACACAGTGAAAGAATGAAAATTTCTTTGACTACCACAGATGCAGTGAAAATGGTTGCATCATTCATCAGTATATTAATACCTTTTGGTTTAACATGGGTACTGGCTATCTTCACTTTCATCACAAAGCCTTCAGTTTCATACGTCATTCAATTCTTTTTCTGTTTCTTCAATGCCTTCCAAGGTTTCTTCATTTTCCTGTTCTTTATTGTCTTCAACAGTGAATCAAGAAATGCATGGAACTTCTGCAGGGAATCAGTCAGTAAAGATAAAATGCAGTCGACTGCAACCCAAGCAAGGTAGAACATACTCTCATCTCAGAATAAAACCAATGACACTGGAATTGAAGTTGAAGTTGCTTTTGTTGCATAAGATCTGCCAAAAGAAAAATAAATAATATATAATAATAATTATTGTTGCTGAATTATAGAGTTTTAAATGTAATCATTAATAATTAATGTTTTCTTGTTTTTTATTTATAATTGCAGACTGAGATGTCAATCATAATGTTTGCAATAGGATTAGTGCAAATAATAATTTGCTATTACTTTAATCATATGCATAATCAATCAAAGAATTTTTAGGAGGCAGGGGAAGCATTTCCCCCTACTGCATTGGCTAAATTCTCCAAAAACATGTGATCTCAAAATTTCAGTTTGCAACCTTAACAAAATTTAGTGCTACCTATTATGGTATGTGCATTTAAAAACTTTTTTACATAATTTTTATAAAGACATTTTTTAACAAAATTATTCAAACTTCTACACATAGGAACACAAATCAGAAAACATAATAAAAAAGAATTCTCTCCAAACCATTTTAAAAGAACTGCCATGAAGTACAATACTATTATAATAAGCTCCTGTACATAGTCTTTGGGCTATAAGCACAAATTCTGTAGTAACTTTTAATACAAGCATGATCATTTGGTGATTTGGGGAAATTCAGCATAATCATTAATGATTTTGATATTCTTAAGAACATAATTCCTCACATGCATATAACTATACATGTACATATAGATCTAATGGCTTAGTCTTGTTATTTCTTAAAAATAATCATGACAACTCTTGTTTTGAAAATGCTTATTTCATAGTTTAGTGTACAATGTTTCTCATGCAAGTAAATAACTTTCAATGACATCATGATCATTATGTTTTTGAAGCTATAATGTATAATATATAGCATTATAAACAGAACCAATATACATGCAGCTATGATGGCAGTGTCAGTGCTAATGGTGTTTGTTATTTGGTCGTTGAGTGTCAGTGAAGTTATTAGTCAATGTCCACCTTCCTCAGGTAAGACATTGGATGTGTATAATAACAACTGTATAGGTTTTTATAGGTATCTACCTGAGGCATAATGGAAACTGTTATACTAATGGATCATATTTTTGGGATCAAAGTATCAGACCAACTCCACTAGAGTGTGTATTACCTGGTGCTACTCTGAATGGTGGACAATGGATTGGTCCTAATGGAGTAGTTCCTTGTGACAGTGGTAACAATGCAAATGTTCAATGTAACACTGGGTCAGGTGCTAATCTCAGTGTTCATGTAAATCCATCAGGTTATCTTGGGACAGATGGTGATGGCCAGTATATGTGTTGTCTACCTACTGCTTGTTCAGATCCTAACACTAACATCATCTTTGCTAATATATTCAGTAAGGGGAAACTAAATCACTTACCGATGTATTAAATTGTATTTGTAGATTTTGCAGAGATAAAGTCATTTACTGTTGCTGATCTTCCTTCTGATATGACAGTATATCCTCAGGAATACAAACTGAATTGTACTAAAATTGGACACTGGCGCTATAACATTAGTATGAGCATTGGTAGTACTGCACTGGCTAATTACACTAACTGTGATGATAGATCTATTACTGATAATTGCCCTGGTACTGTGTTAGTTAGTAGTACACACACAGTAAGATATACTGTTAATATCAGATGGGATGGAATGAATGTCAGTAGTGGATCAATCAGTCAATCAACGACTGGAGATCAAATGTATCAGTGTAGGGTAGCAGATCATCCTGATGGTAATGAAGTTAGAATACGTAATGTAATTATAAAAGGTAATGTCAATTAATGCTGATTACCAATAATATTTCTCTATTAGTTCCAGCAACTGCTCCTTCTTCTCTTACTGAGGTCAACAAGACAGCTACCACTATCACTGTCAGTTGGACTGCACTTGATTCATCTGATGCTGATGGATATGTAGTCAATGTCACTAGTGACACAGACACTATGCAGACAGTACAGGCAGAGGGAAATAGTAATAATATTGTCACAGTGAACGGACTGATAGTGAATACAACATATAACGTCACAGTCAGAGCCTATCAACAATTACTGGGACCTGCTACTAGTGCAATCAGTGTGCAGACTTCATCAAGTTAGTTGTTATGATATTTTCATAATGAGAATCATCCTATTACATGTAGATTAAGTCGATTAATGAGATTATACATTTACTTTACTTGTCATTATTCTTTTAGTTTATTGTTCCAGTGAGTCTATTGATAGTAGTCGTGGTACATTTGTGTGGCCTGAGACTGATTCAAACATGAGGGCAGTAGTAGC